TTAGTTAACAATTTCCCAAAAGTTAGATAGGGCAATGGGTAATTAAGAAAGGAATGTTTCCTGCCAGTCCCCTGTAGTCAGGTGATCCACCAATGTTTGTCAAAGCCCAGGTGGCAGGTCCTAAAGTCTGGCCCAGGAGCCTTTATTAACATAGATGGTTCTGTCTTAGATAATAAGTGCAGCAGGAACTGATAACTGTAACTTAGAGAGAGGACAAGTTAAATATAACACAAGTTTGAAGCCAGGCTTTAAAGAAATGGTATATTAACTAAAATATGGAGTTTTATTCTAACAATATGGAGTTAGACCTAACAAAGCAAACATTTTTATCCTCACAGCTACACTTTACCTGAAACCATATCCTTACTGAATAATAATTTTTCCATCAAGTCCTTGCACCCTTCATACCTGGACAAGACCTGAACTTTATTTCCCCAGGGAGAAAGGATCACAAAATAAATTAATGTGAATAAAGAATCATGTTCATGGATTTTAGAACCAAAACAATTTTGAAAACTCTATTTTTTTCCCCTAATTTTTTTTTTTTTTGTGTGTGTGTGTTATGTTTGTAATTATGAAGGCTTGGGTTTGATTATCAAGAGTATGGAGTTTATACCATAAACTTTAGACTTGGGAATAAAGTTAAGCAATGTAAGAACAGCTTTGTCCACTCAAAAGGTATAAACACCTGATCAGTTGGTAGGGAGGAGAATACTGGAGGAGCGGAGTAGGATAAAAACAGAAACATCCAGATAATTTTGGAAATTCCAATACAGATATGAAACTTCCTCTTATTAGACAGAAGGTATTGAACATGAGTGTATCTATATTCTATTTTGGCCATAACAAATTACCACAAATTTAGTATCTTAACACAAATTTAGTTCTTATAGTTCTGTAGTGGACTGAGTAGAAACAGATGCAAACATCCATTAATAATTGGAATATGGAATGGATGATGTATGAATCTAGGAAAATTGGAATTTGTCAAACATGAAATGGAAAACATGAAGATCGATATCCTAGGCATTAGTGAGCTGAAATGGACTGGTTTTGGCCATTTTGAATCAGACAACCATATGATCTACTATGCTGGGAATCACAAGTTGAAGAGGAATGGCATGGCATTCATCATCACAAAGGATGTTTTGGGATCTGTCCTGAAGTACAATGCTGTCATGATAGGATAATATCCATATATCTACAAGAAAGGCAATTAATACTACTATTATCCAAACTTACGCACCAACCACCAAAGCCAAAGATGAGGATACTGAAGATTTCTACCAACTTCTGCAGTCGGAAATCGACCAAACATGCAATGAAGATGTGTTGATTGTCACTGGTGACTGGAATGTGAAAATTGGAAACAAAGAAAAGTTACCAGTAGGTGGAAAATATGGCCTTGGTGATAGAAATAACACTGGAGATTGTGTGATAGAATTTTGCAAGACCGATGACTTATTCATTGCAAATACCTTTATTCAACCACATAAGTGATGGCTATACATGTAGACTTCACCAGCTGGAGTACACAGGAATCAGATTGACTACATTGTAGCAAGAGGTGATGGAGAAGTTAAATATCTTCAGCCAAAACAAGACCAGGAGCTGATTGTGGAACAGACCATCAACTGCTCATATGTGAGTTTAAGTTGAAGTTGAAGACAAAACAAGTCCA